GCCGAATTACATCCATTTTAAATGAGCGTGCCTTTCTTGTACCGGGGGATGGTGGATGTTCATATTATTCAGATACCTCTAGTAAGCCTGGCGGTATCAGGCTGGACTAATGGAAGAAGTAACATAAAATAAAGTTACGGTGCATGACATAAATTAACCATTAACCATGGGCGACGTTATTCTGCCCACGAGTCCTGATCCGTCGTCATCCTACAAAAATCTCCTACAGATGTGGATGCCTTGGCCCATCTGTAGTTGAGAGTACCACTATACACGGCCAAGGAAAAACTAACTTCCACCGACCAACCGATCGAACGACCGATAGAGCTGGCTCGGAATATTGCGTATAATTTGGGAAAGAAACAACCGGACTGTACAAAAGAGGAATTTGGAACACACACACTGGTATAAAATTGCTAAGCAGTGCTAATGTAGTCAGGAAGTATTTTAGTGACGAACTCTGGTACGCAGTGATCGACGTGCATCTGGCAAAATAATTAAAAATATGTATATAGAGGACAAAGATGTGGTCGACAAGAATATCCTAAATAGCCTTATGGAAGGAGGGAACAACATAGATCTAACAAGCTGGCATCTGCAGTTAAGGATACCGCTACAAGCAAACAGCCAATAGGCAAGAAAAAAGCTAGGTTTAAGAACCATCGGATCACTTCACCCAATCTTCTGAAAATGACGAAGCAGAACTTTCTTGGGATAAATAAAAACCAGTAAGGAAAGTAGTAAAGTCGGACGGAACCGACTATATGATACCCTTCACCACTATGGGTATATTAAACAGGACTATTAACATGAAATTGGATGAAATAAAATATGTGATATTTATCTAAATGTGAGTCTACCTAGATCTATCCATAAAGTATGTAAATCGATTTCAAACAAATATAAATAGGTCATCCGTTGGGCATTATATGGGAGCTATATCTAAATCAGGACCGATTTTCATAAAACTTGGCAATAACGTACTTCTAGCTCAATTAAGTACGTTATGCCAAATTTCCTGCAAATGGAAGGATATATAGGGCCTTTGGGGCACCATTTACATGAAATCGGACGAAACTATATATAGGAGCTATATCTAAATCTGGACCGATTTCCACGAAACTTGGCAGGCATCATTCAAGTCTCAATTCAGTACGTTATGCATAATTTCGTGCAAATCGAAAGATATATAGCGACTTTGGAGCACCATTTACATGAAATCGCACGAAACTATATATGGGAGTTATATCTAAATCAGGACCGATTTTCATGAAACTTGGCAGACATCATTATAGGCTCAATTAAGTACGTTATGCCAAATTTCCTGCAAATCGAAGGATATCTAGGGACCTTGGGGCACCATTTACATGAAATTGGACGAAACTATATATGGGAGCTATATCTAAATCTGGACCGATTTTCACGAAACTTGGCAGACATCATTCTAGACCTAAATGATTACGCTGTACCAAATTTCGTGCAAATCGAAGGATATCTAGGGACTTTGGGGCACCATTTACATGAAATCGGACGAAACTATATATGGGAGCTATATCTAAATCTGGACCGATCTTCATGAAACTTGGCAGACATCATTCTAGGCTCAATTCAGTTCGTTATGCCAAATTTAGTGCAAATCGAAAGATATATAGCGACTTTGGGGCACCATTTACATGAAATCGGACGAAACTATATATGGGAGCTATATCTAAATCAGGACCGATTTTCATGAAACTTGGCAGGTATCATTCTAGGCTCAATTCAGTACGTTATGCCAAATTTCGTGCAAATCGAAAGATATATAGCGACTTTGGGGCACCATTTACATGAAATCGGACGAAACTATATATGGGAGCTATATCTAAATCGGGACCGATCTTCATGAAACTTGGCAGACATCATTCTAGGCTCAATTAAATACGTTATGCCAAATTTCCTGCAAATCGAAGGATATCTAGGGACTTTGGGGCACCATTTACATGAAATCGGACGAAACTATATATGGGAGCTATATCTAAATCTGGACCGATTTTCATGAAACTTGGCAGACATCATTCTAGACCTAAATGATTGGGCTGTACCAAATTTCGTGCAAATCGAAAGATATATAGGGACCGTTTACATTAAATCGGTTAAATATATATATGGGAGCTATATCTAAATCTGAAACGATTTTTCCCAATTTCAATAGGGTTCGTCCTTGGGCCGAATAAGTGACCTATGCCAAATTTCATCTAATTCGGATCATAAATGCGACCTGTACTTTGTTTACAATTTAACATGGACAGACAGACGGACAGACGGACGGACGGACATGCATAAATCGACTTAGAAAGTGATTCTATGCATGTTCTCAAAAGGAACCATGTGTCTATCTCGTTTCCTTTTGCCTGTTACAAACATATGCACAAAGACATAATACCCTGTACCACAGTGTGGTGAAGGGTATAAAAATTGAAAAATGCAATTGGAGAAGTAAGCGAGGATACTGCCACATGAACGACTAACATATAAATAAATCGCTAAGTTCGGCCGTGCCTAACTTTTTACACACTCCACCATTGTCCTTCGAAATATGGGTCTTTCAGGTAAAAACGAAATACCAACAATACCATCCCCTAAATACCGGATATTGGGGGTACTGATATATAGGGGCTAACCCGAAACATTAGTCAATTTTAATAATCTTTAGTAGGGCTATATATTGAGAACCCAAAATGCCAAATTACAGCCAATTTCGATGTAAAACGTAGTAAAGTCGGACTGGGCCGACTATTCGATACCCTTCACCAATTTTGGTATATTCTACATATGTATCCTAACAGATGTCGCCTTTTCGAAGGAATACTAATTTCAGTACGTTGTGTCAATCGGCCTAGCTATGGGTCTTTAGTGCAGAAGTTACATCAAATAGGACGAAAATATATATGGGAGCTATGACTAAATCTGAACCGATTTTCACGAAACTTGACACACATCATTCAACACTCAATTCAGTACTCTATGCCAAATTTCGTAGAAAACGAAAAATATATAAGGACTTTGGTGCACAATTGACATAAAATCGAACGAAACTAGATATGGGAGCCATATCTAAATCTGAACCGATTTTCTCTACACTTAACACACGTTATTAAAGACTCAATTCAGTACTCTATGCCAAATTTGGTGCAAATCGAAAGATATATAGGGACTTTGGTGCACCATTTTCATAAAATCGGACGAAATTATATACGGGAGCTATATCTAAATCTGATCCGATTTTCACGAAACTTAGCACAAACCATTCTGGACCCAATTCAGTGCCCTACGCCAAATTTTGTGCAAATCGAATTACATATAGGGACTTTGGTGCCCCATCTACCTTAAATCGGACGAAAATATGCATTGGAGCTATATCTTAATCTGACCCGATTTTTTCGAAACTTGGCACAAATCATTCAAGACTCAATACAGTACTCTATGCCAAATTTCGTGCAAATCGAAATATATACAGGGATTTTGGTACACCATTTACATTAAATCGGACGAAACTATATATGAGAGCTATATCTAACTATGAACCGATTTTTCTTGGGCCAAATAAGTGCCAAATTTCATCCAAATCGGATCATTAATGCGACCTGTACTTTGTTTACAATTTAACATGGAAAGACAGACGGACGGACATGCATAAATCGACTAAAACAGTGATTCTATGCTTATTCTCAAAAGGAACCATGTGTCTATCTTGTTTCCTTTTGCCTGTTATAAACATATGCACAAAGACATAATACCCTGTACCACAGTGTGGTGAAGTGTATACATATTGGAGGGTATCTTTATATGGGGTCTACACCAAAAATTTGATTAATATTAATCGTTTGTAATGGGGAGGTTTGCTATAAATTAGGAATACAAAATACCAAATAACCGCCAAATCGGATTGAAATTGTGACCAACAATTGAGTATATATTATACATTTTTAGTAAGAATGTTAGCTATACATTACAATACAAAATTAAAGCCCATTCTAATGAAAATTGTGCTGAACAACTCGAAAATACCGAATTGTACTATTATATGGGGCTTAGTAATTTTTCCCATCGCATATAAAGTGCTATCCAGCGTGCTGTGTGAACGACTTTTCACTCTGCACCAAATCCTGGGGAAGACCCACGAAAAAACACGTTGACATATTCCACCTATCAGTAGTTCGACAGCCTTATCTGTTCAGAGGTGTTTAAAGTCTGTATTCGGCATTCCTGCAAAATTAATACGGTTAAGCAGGATAACTTCAAGTGGCACAAGGTTAGCAGTTAAGGTCGGAAAGGACCTATCGGAGCCCTTTAATTCCGAATGAGGATTCAGACAAGGTGACAGTTTGTCGTGTGATCTTTCAACAAATTGAGAAGGAGTCTGTCAAAGTGGTTGTGGCAGTAAACGGCGAGAAGACCAAGTCGGGAAGGAAAAAAGAACCTTTCCGTCATCTGATACGAAGTGATAGGAGATGCACCGACAAACGGCGACAAATCTAGCCTCCTCACAATTTATGTTAAAAATGTCTTCATATTATATAATGCTCCTATAGCCTAATTTCAATAGCCATACTCATCGACAAACTTTGCTAAATCGACGTAGAAATTTATACTGATCGAAAAAAAAAAAATATATATATATATATAGTATTAGGTTCCAAAGGATATTTCAAGATGTTACAAACGGAATGACAAATAAATTAAATCCATACTTAATTACATGCAAATATAAAATTTATTGCTTATCATGCTATCTTTTGAGACTTTCCGCAAGTATTTTATGTAAAATGTGATCATGTCTACAGTTCAAATGCATTCATTATCTCCATACCATGCCGCATACCAATAATCTCTACAGCTCACACACACACAGTACAAAGAATCCATAAAAACCCCATCCATTTAACCTCTTAAATGAAGTCAAGTGAATTTTCAATTTACACCTCCTCCTCCTCGAATTACCAATCGCATCTGCATCCGCTTTAACCCCAAGAACGTGTACACCAAGAACCCATATTGAAGCTGGTAAAACTTATTCCATTGTTATGGTTGTTGTCATATTCTATGTATAAGTGTTCATCCTCCTGCTGCTGCTCTTGATCGTCTTGTTCATTGGAGACAACCAGCAGTAGGTCATTGCCGGGTGGTCTAATGTCATATGCATAATATTGGTACGGGGGAGGTTGGTGTTGGTGCAGGTGGGAATGGTGTGGGTGATGGTTCTGATGTTGCTGCTGCTGCATTTGATGTAGGTAAGAATGACGTGGTGATGATGTAGAGTCGCCCGGCCCCATTGGCGCCCGGTTTACTGGCAATTGCAATATGGCTGAAGAAGTGGATGATGTTGATGATGGTCCTGTTGCTTCTGCTCCTGCTACTGCTGAAGATGACAGCAAATTAAGTTCATTTAAATATCTAACATTTATATTCGGATGCTGATGAAGATGATGAGTAACCGCCTGACATTGTTGATGGTTGCTGCTGTCATATGCGACTCGATTACTAAAACTGGTCATTGTTCTTGTTGTTTGGCTGCTGCCATGATTGATGATGGCGTTGGAGGTGGCATTGGGTATGGAGATGCTATCGGTGGTGGCGGCCGAGGTGGTCCTTCTGCTTTCATAATCACACTTTCCCTTATTGACTTTGAATGAGAATTTTTTGGCTTTCTTTGTTCTGCTTGTGGTTGTGTGGCCACAACTGCTGTCCTCTGCAGCTGTTGCCGTACTTGTTGTTGTCGTTGTTGTGGCGGGTGTTGCGGTAATACTGTTGGTCGCCAAATCGGATTGACATTTTGAAGCCAGCTATGCTGACACATAATATTCTCGTTGACGTTTTTGACATTTTTCGCGTGCAATATAGCACAGGGCAATGGTGATCAATAGGGCAATGGTTATGCCCATGCCAATGCTAACCCACATAATCTCCTCATTGATGCCAACATATGAACGGCCTGGAATAAAAAAAAGAAATAGATGGGAGAAAAAGTAGACAAGAAAAAAATTGATGAGAAATGTTATTGGATTATTTTGGTTTTCTAGAGTGGGGAAAAATTAGTATTGACGGTATAGTTGATGGCAGATGAAGATAAATGAGTGGAAATGGAAATTTAAGAAGGAAAGTGTAGAAAATGACTAAGGTTCCAAACTACCTGTAACCGGAATATGAGTTGTTTTTACCTAATAACTAGAATACATGTTTGTGATTTTTTTATAATGATAATTTTGAGATTAATGGTGGTATGTTTATTTCATAATAAAAAGGAAGAACCCCCGAAGAAACATCCGACAACGACATGAGGTTGATTGCCTTCGCGGCAGCAAAAACCATGGTAGTTAGCAGCACCAGATTCAAGCATCTCTATATACACTACTAGAAATCAAATTGATCATGTTGTAATAGACGGTTAGAGGAGCGATTATCGATTCGGACCAATACCTTGTGGCAGCCAATGTTCGCACCCGTCTTAATGTAGCACCAAAGATGCGATATAATGTAACACGAAAACTCGACGTCGATAAGCTACAAACACAACAGATAAACCAGTAAGGAAAGTAGTAAAGTCGGACGGGGCCGACTATATGATACCCTTCATCACTTTGGGTATATTCAACAGATGAATACTAACAGACGTCGAATTTTCGAAGGACCATTAACATGAAAATGGATCCATAAACATATCATTCTGCAACCTAAATCTTGTGCCGATTGGACTTCTAGGTTATACTTACTGCAGTACGTTGCGCAAAATTTGTGTCAATTTTGTGTAAAATCGGACGAAAATATATATGTAGAAGCTATATCAAAATCTAAACAGTACGCTATGCCAAAATTCGTGCAAATCAAAAGATTTCAAGGGACTTTAGTGGACTATTTACCTAAAATCGGGCGAAACTATATATGGGAGCCATATCTAAATCTGAACCGATTTTCACGAAACCTAACACACATTATTCTAGACCTTATTCGTTATGCTGTGCCGAATTTCGTGCAAATCGAATGATATATAGAGACTTTGGTACACCATCAAGAAAACCGTGGTACAATCAGGAGTGTCGTAATGCTACGGAGTTGAAAATCGCAGCGTATAGGACAACCCTGCAAACAGTAGCAACACGAAATGCGAGAGAGAATCATCGGGAGAGAGAAGAAAAGTATTTTCAGAAAAAAGAAAAAATAAAAAAACGTGAGCGGGAACAAGTCGAGATGTACAGGAGTCAGATTGAAATTCCAGAAATATTTCCAACGAGTAAAACACCAAACCCAAGGTACACCCTCCTGTAGATATGAAGATGGAAACCTGATGACAGATACAGGTAGCGTGTTGGCGGAAACCTGTTGACAGATAAAGGTAGCGTGTTGAGGATCTTAAAGGAGCATTTTGTAAAGCTTCTGGTATCAAATAGTGGCGTTGAAGAAGATATCCCAGAACCAATAAGAGATGACGGTATAGAGTGCATACCACTTAGCTAAGATGAGGTTAGAATATCAACCAATCGGCTGAAGAATAATAAAGCAGCAGGTGCCGATTGATTACCAGCCGAACTATTCAAGACTGGTGGTCAGATGCTGGTCAGGAGCGTGCACCAGCTGATTAGTACAATTTGGCTAGAGGAATGCCTGACCAATGATTGGAACCTCAGCAACCTGTGTGCCGTGCACAAAAAAGGAGACAAGACGATATGTGCCAACTACAGAGGAATTAGTCTTCTTCCCATCGCATATAAAGTGCTGCGTGAACAACTGAACCCAATGGTCAATTACATTATTGGACCACACCAATGCGGCTTCAGACCTGGCAAATCCACCATTGACCAGATTTTCACTCTGCGCCAACTCCTAGAAAAGTCCCATGAAAAGCACATCGACACATTTAAGCTATTCGTCTCCTATGAAGCCGCATTCGACAGCCCTATCTGTTCAGAGGTGTTTACAGCCTATCTGCGTTCGGCATTCCTGCAAAATTATTACGGCTATGCAGGATAACTTTAACTGGGACAAGGTCAGCAGTTAAAGTCGGAAAGGAAGTCACGGAGTCCATTAATACCGAACGAGATAAGGTAAGATTTTGTCGTGTGATCTTTTTAACATCAAGCTTGAAAAGGTCATACAGAGGCAAAGGTGAACAGAAATGGCGCTCTGTATACCAAACAGCATATGTTACTCGCCTACGCCGATTACATCACATAATGGGTCGAACATTGCGAGCGGTAACAGCCAACTTTGAAGGAAATGAGAAAGAGTCTGACAAAGTGGGACTGACAGTAAATGGTGAGAAGACCAAGCTGATGGTATCAACGCGCAAGACGTCCAGTAGACTCGGACCAACTGTGGAACTTGAGAACTACCGCTTCGAGATTGTCATAGATTTTATTACTTTGGCACCGCCATAAATAAAACTAATGACATTAGTTATGAAATTCGGAGGAGAAAAGTGTTGGCCAACAGATGCTACTATGGTCTAAGTAAACAATTCATAAATAGGGCCACCTCTAGCCAGACGAATCTCACACTCCACAAGACTCTGATAATACCCGAAAGATCTATGGGCCGATCAGCGGTGAATATTCGTGTCGAATGAGTTGTACCATCTATTCACGGACATCGACATAGCAGACGTATCGAGCTGCAGCGACTTCGTTTGCAAGGTCATGTTGTGAGAATGGATGAGAATGCCCCAGCTCAAAAGACATTTAAAAGCGAACCAACTTATGGATCCCGTAGAAGGGATGTAGTGTTGCACACATAATGCCAGCTTTCAACCTTCAATTAAATTTAAGATCCAAATGAGACGAAATTTGGCCCAAGGACGAACCCTGCGCCTGTCCGATATTTATGGTAGCTACATCTAAATCTGAACCCATTAACTACAACTCTTTGTACCAAATTGATTAGCCATGCCAAATTGAATATACCCAAAACGATGTACGTTACTACTATTATTCCTGCAGAACTAAAAATAAAAAATTAAAAAAAAATCAACTGATGCAGCTTTCAACCTTCATAATTTTCCAATAATGTAAATTTAATTTTCAATACCTAAAATCAGGGCTTGGCAATAGAACAACATAATTAACGTTTCTAATTAACATGGAACTTACAAGGGCATCGTTATCGATATTTCTATTCGATTTCCGGTAAAATTATTGCAACGTCGATGATATAAAAAGACGATGTGCGACAATGATTCGATATCATAAGTTGGACTGTTTACATTTGGAAAACATCTGAATAGTATAGTTCATAAAAATGAAAGTTTGTAAGTGTTACGAAAGGAGAGCGAAAATAATAGTTCTGAATATCTTCTTCTCATTATTTTCCAATTTCAGACTATTTATTAGTAATTGTGGCCATATTGGCTCCTGCCATAATTAGGGGTCATAACTATGCTCATGATTACGATTATCCTGCCGAAAGTCCATGTTCGGAAGAAAACGATCATGACGATGACCATAGACCACCACCATCATGCTCTGGCGATAATGAATCGGATAATGGACATGATTCTAATGGCAATGGAAATGGACATAATCCACCATGTTCTGGGGATAATGGAAACCATAGACCACCACCATCATGCTCTGGCGATAATGAATCGGATAATGGACATGATTCTAATGGCAATGGAAATGGACATAACCGACCATGTTCTGGGGATAATGGAAACCATAGACCACCACCATCATGCTCTGGCGATAATGAATCGGATAATGGACATGATTCTAATGGCAATGGAAATGGACATAACCGACCATGTTCTGGGGATAATGGAAACCATAGACCACCACCAACATGCTCTGGCGATAATGAATCGGATAATGGACATGATTCTAATGGCAATGGAAATGGACATAACCGACCATGTTCTGGGGATAATGGAAACCATAGACCACCACCATCATGCTCTGGCGATAATGGAAATGATTCTAATGGCAATGGAAATGGACATAACCCACCATGTTCTGGGGATAATTCGTCCGATAATGATAATGGATGTAATGGCAATGGAAATCATAGACCAAGGCCACCATGTTCTGGAGGTAGTGGATCCGGAAGTGGTTCCGGTAGTGGATCGGGCAGTTGTTCCGGTAGTGGTTCCGGAAGTGGATCTGATGGTTCCGGTAGTGGATCGGGTAGTGGTTCCGGAAATGGATCTAATTGCAATGGAAATAATAGACCAAGGCCACCATGTTCTGGAGGTAGTGGATCGGGAAGTGGTTCCGATAGTGGATCGGGCAGTGGTTCCGGAAGTGGATGTGATGGTTCCGGTAGTGGATCGGGCAGTGGTTCCGGAAGTGGATCTAATTGCAATGGAAATAATAGACCAAGGCCACCATGTTCTGGAGGTAGTGGATCGGGTAGTGGTTCCAGTAGTGGATCGGGCAGTTGTTCCGGAAGTGGATCTGATGGTTCCGGTAGTGGATCGGGCAGTGGTTCCGGAAGTGGATCTAATTGCAATGGAAATAATAGACCAAGGCCACCATGTTCCGGTAGTGGATCTAGTAGTGGATCGGGAAGTGGTTCCGGCAGTGGATCGGGTAGTGGTTCCGGAAGTGGATCTGATGGTTCCGGTAGTGGATCGGGTAGTGGTTCCGGAAATGGATCTAATTGCAATGGAAATAATAGACCAAGGCCACCATGTTCTGGAGGTAGTGGATCGGGCAGTGGTTCCGGTAGTGGATCGGGTAGTGGTTCCGGAAGTGGATCTAATTGCAATGGAAATAATAGGCCATGTTCTGGTAGGCCAAACCACAATTCAGGAGGATGCGACGACGACACTACAACAACATGCACTACAACAACATGCACCACAACAACTCCGTGTCCACCATCCCACAATTCTACAACTCCGGAAGGTGATGGCAATAATGGCACAAACGATACCGCCACCCATCTCAATTATTTGATGTCGCTCAACGCTTGTGCCTCACTGCCCGATAATACCATACTCTTGGATTTGAGACATTGCCGTCGTTTCTATGTTTGCACCAACAAACGTGTAAAACGTAATCGTTGTCCAATTGGTGAATGGTATGACAAGGACTTACGTAGCTGCCGTAAACGTTCTCTGGTGACCAATTGTATTGCAAATAAGAATTAGTGATCCAAACTACAGCTGAATCTCAACGACAACAACCACAACGTCAAAATGTGAAACATTCTCGCGTTGATATCCGCGTATTCTATCACATATTTCTATAAACATACATATATAATCAACATATTTTAACCGAACTTTCTCAAATAAACAGCAATATTATAAAAAAAAAAAAAAAACGTTGAGGTGATTAGCACATTTTTAATCGCATATTGGAGATTTATATTTTAGCATAATATCACATTTTCGGTCCGGGGACGATTGGTACATGCCTTCTGCTTAAATTTTCGGAGCATTTTCTGCGCAGCTATATGTCAGCCTCCGAAACCCCACCAAATACTAAACAAAAGTTATTTCGGTTGGAAAATGCGCTTAAACCCTTAAAATATAGAGATTTGGTCAAACATCGACTTGTAGAAATCATTTTCTCGGCACATGTATGTCAGCCTCCAATACCCAGAAATGCCAGCATAGAGCTTTTGGTTGAAAAAAAAATGCGCTAAAGCCATAAAACATTGGGCGGGACTGTTGAGAGAGAGAGAGAGAGAGAGAGAGAAGAGACATATGATCTGCATTATCTATGTATTCGAGTTGTTGTGAGAGACTCCATTTTATGCCTCTTTTCTGAGTTTGAACAGTAGGGTCACCCTTATTAGGACATCCTTATTTATGTTGTTATGTTGCCGTTGCAAACAACTGATAGTTCTGCATGTTCGTACCACTTGGTAATTTCTATGTGTATTTATGTATTTTCTTGTCAGGGAACATCAGTTTGACAATGTTCTATGAGTTTCTCACCGTTCGACATTACGGTCCCAACACCGCTTTCACTACTATTGTCTTTTTCACTGTATAGTATATAGTTGCCATTTTCTGTGAGAAGTTCATTGATTTTATCTCATTTCACTTTGTTCTTATAAAATGTAATTTGATGTCCTAACTATAAAAGTCTTGGAACTTCACGAAGAGTTCGACCATTAAATTGCGCAATGGCGTCCTACTTCATGTTCAAAATGTTTTTTAGTATTGCCACTTTTTTCTGGGAGCAAATTAATTCAATGCATCTGTTGATCAAACCTTATTTACCCTAAATTATGATCCCGCTGAACCAATAACCCGAACAAACAATTACACATTGCTAATGGAGATGTTTCTCAACAATAACTCTTGGGTTTTCCTACACTACAGATGATGCAATATAACTAGCTGACATAGTCACCGAGATGGAAATGAGCCCCAGAAGAAATGTCTTAATCGTCTTAACATTGGCAATACCATGGCAGCTGGTTGTATGTACCGGATTGACTCGAAAGAGGACCCTGACCAGAGTCTGCGACCTCAACAAATACATGTACGTTATATTTTGTCATTATATCCCGGAATGCTTGCTCCGAACCATTCTGGTCCGTGCCAGGATAGAAAGAAAGCCCGAATATTGGTTCTGCAGTGTTTGTCAGAATCTCATCCCCCATAGATTAATCTCTGCCGAGGTAGAGATTCTGAATGTATATATACTGTCGATGAACAGCTGTACACCGCGTTATTTAACGGTGATATCCGCTTTTAGAAGATAATAACCGCCAGGTTTTAGGCGCCTTTAATGCCCACCATTCCGCCACACGATTTTGGCATTTCGACCTTTGTAACGAACAAAGCGTTGGCTGAACAAATCAATAGCTCAACATTTTGCACGGTTAAGGAAGATGTCCCGCGAGAATAAGAGGAGATTGCCATAGTTCGCCAGACATCATCATAGTGGCACCGAGTCTAATTAAAGTAGTAACCGAGAAACCCGTCATTTCACTCTGCTTATCTCCGTCAACAGATCACATTTGAACGCCACAATTTCCTGAACCGTGGGAAATATGACTGACCTGGTTTCGCAGCCCATTCTCTCAAATCCTTGGGTAGCCGAAAGGAATTTCCGTAGAATCACTGCCCTTCGCTTCATACCCGTTGGTCGAATACCCAAAGTAAGACCATACTTTCCATCGAAAGCGACGACTTGCCAATGAACGTGATGACCTCCGTCTTACGACCGCTAAAGGCCCAAAGGTGAGAGAAATTACCCTTTGAAGTCAACAGGCTAGTATGCGAGCACACAAGTAAATAAACTAAATGTTAGAGTTGGGTAGTTCCGTAGCTTCTAAATATCCTACTAAATAGAAATTATTTATAATCAATTTCAATTTCATTAAGGAACTAGTTAATTTAAAAAAAAGGAACGCCACGTGAACTTGATTGCCCAACTCTACTATATGTCTGGTCTTCAGTCATATATGAAATCCAGAAACAAGCAATTCAAAACCTGTAGAGTGAAACAGGGACTTCCCCAAGAAATCCGGAATTTTTTAAAATTTACCTTTCTGAATTTCCACAAACACCGGATGGCTTAGAAATCGTCAGGACGCATTATTGGTGTTATTTGTGAAAGATTAAACTACTACATAATTAAACTTGTTTCTTACTTCTATCTGAGGAATATGAAAATATCCGCTGCCAAATGAACAGCCACGCTGTTAATCACATTATTCCGACCACAAATTGGTGGTAAGCTATGCGATGTCAGTGTGGCTTGATAATATAAGTAATGTGTAGAGATGGGCAGTGGGTAAATACCCAAAGGGTAAATACCCGGTAAATTGGGTAAATACCCGGTAAATTGGGTAAATACCCATTTGTGGGTATTTATTTGGGTATTTACTATATTGAATCGGTAATACAACATCTTGCACCCTATTTCCGGGTTTCTGTTATCAAATCGATTTAGAATGGATAGTTTTACGATACTTTAAAGACGTGGGTAAATACTTGGGTAAATACCCGAGTTTTTACCCAAAAATTGGGTATAAACTCATTAACTGCCGAACCACTTGACGTAGGCGGCCAAAATTTTGCACACATGTTTCTAATGACAAAGCAAATATAGAAATCCAACATGGGGACCCTGGGTCCAAGTTTTGATATAGCCCCCATATAACCGTATCTCCCGATTTAAGGTATTTTTTGCCTATTAGACACATTTTAAGGCCAAATTGGCTGTAATTTGGCACAGAGTGTTCTTTTTGGGTACCAAATGTCCATGCAAAATTTTATGTATGTAGGTCCACGTTTACTGGTAGCCCCCATACAAAGGTACCCCTATTTTTAGTATTTACCCAAAAATTGGGTATAAACTCATTAACTGCCGAACCACTTGACATAGGCGGCCAAAACTTTGCACACATGTTTCTAATGTCAAAGCAAATATAGAAATCCAACATGGGGACCCTGGGTCCAAGTTTTGATATAGCCCCCATATAACCGTATCTCCCGATTTAAGGTATTTTTTGCCTATTAGACACATTTTAAGGCCAAATTGGCTGTAATTTGGCACAGAGTGTTCTTTTTGGGTACCAAATGTCCATGCAAAATTTTATGTATGTAGGTCCACGTTTACTGGTAGCCCCCATACAAAGGTACCCCTATTTTGAGTATTTACCCAAAAATTGGGTATAAACTCATTAACTGCCGAACCACTTGACATAGGCGGCCAAAACTTTGCACACATGTTTCTAATGTCAAAGTAAATATAGAAATCCAACATGGGGACCCTGGGTCCAAGTTTTGATATAGCCCCCATATAACCGTATCTCCCGATTTAAGGTATTTTTTGCCTATTAGACACATTTTAAGGCCAAATTGGCTGTAATTTGGCACAGAGTGTTCTTTTTGGGTACCAAATGTCCATGCAAAATTTTATGTATGTAGGTCCACGTTTACTGGTAGCCCCCATACAAAGGTACCCCTATTTTGAGTATTTACCCAAAAATTGGGTATAAACTCATTAACTGCCGAACCACTTGACATAGGCGGCCAAAACTTTGCACACATGTTTCTAATGTCAAAGCAAATATAGAAATCCAACATGGGGACCCTGGGTCCAAGTTTTGATATAGCCCCCATATAACCATATCTACCGATTTAAGGTATTTTTTGTTTATTAGACACATTTTACAACCTAATTGGCTGTAATTTAGCACAGAGTGCTCTTTTTGGGTACAAAATGTCCATGCCAAATTTTATGTATGTAGGTCCACGTTTACGGTAGCCCCCATACAAAGGTACCCCTATTTTGAGTATTTACCCAAAAATTGGGTATAAACTCATTAACTGCCGAACCACTTGACATAGGCGGCCAAAATTTGGCTAAGATGGTTTTTATATCAATACAAATATTGAAATCCAAAATGGGGCCCCTGGGTCCAAGTTTTGATATAGCCCCCATATAACCGTACCTACCGATTTAAGGTACTTTTACGATCAAATTGGTTGTAATTTGGCATAGTGAGATTTTTTTTGCACAAAATATTCATGCAAAATGTGGTTTTTGACACACATGGTTTAAAATCAATATTATTTCCTGTATGGGAAAAGGGGTCTTCAAAACACACGTCAAATAGTTCGGCTATAAAAGAGTTTATAAATATATATAAATACCCAAAATCAGGACCGCTATATAGGACAGAAAAAGTTGATCAGAGCAAACAATTGGTACTCATAGAGAACTCTCTAAGCCAAATTCCAGCCAATCAAATTGGCTAATAGATAAAAATGTCCTAAAATCGGGAGATACGGTTATATGGGGGCTATATCAAAACTTGGACCCAGGGTCCCCATGTTGGATTTCTATATTTGCTTTGACATTAGAAACATGTGTGCAAAGTTTTGGCCGCCTATGTTAAGTGGTTCGGCAGTTAATGAGTTTATACCCAATTTTTGGGTAAATACTCAAAATAGGGGTACCTTTGTATGGGGGCTACCAGTAAACGTGGACCTACATACATAAAATTTTGCATGGACATTTTGTACCCAAAAAGAGCACTCTGTGCCAAATTACAGCCAATTTGGTTGTGAAATGTGTTTAATAAACAAAAAATACCTTAAATCGGGAGATATGGTTATATGGGGGCTATATCAAAACTTGGACCCAGGCACCCCATGTTGGATTTCTATATTTGTTTTGTCATTAGAAACATGTGTGCAAAATTTTGGCCGCCTATGTCAAGTGGTTCGGCAGTTAATGAGTTTATACCCAATTTTTGGGTAAATACTCAAAATAGGGGTACCTTTGTATGGGGGCTACCAGTAAACGTGGACCTACATACATAAAATGTTGCATGGACATTGGGTACCCAAAAAGAACACTGTGCCAAATTACAGCCAATTTGGCCTTAAAATGTGTCTAATAGGCAAAAAATACCTTAAATCGGGAGATACGGTTATATGGGGGCTATATCAAAACTTGGACCCAGGGTCCCCATGTTGGATTTCTATATTTGCTTTGACATTAGACACATGTGTGCAAAGTTTTGGCCGCCTATGTTAAGTGGTTCGGCAGTTAATGAGTTTATACCCAATTTTTGGGTAAATACTCAAAATAGGGGTACCTTTGTATGGGGGCTACCAGTAAACGTGGACCTACATACATAAAATTTTGCATGGACATTTTGTACCCAAAAAGAGAACTCTGTGCCAAATTACAGCCAATTTGGTTGTAAAATGTGTCTAATAGGCAAAAAATACCTTAAATCGGGAGATACGGTTATATGGGGGCTATATCAAAACTTGGACCCAGGGTCCCCATGTTGAATTTCTATATTTGCTTTGACATTAGAAACATGTGTGCAAAGTTTTGGCCGCCTATGTCAAGTGGTTCGGCAGTTAATGAGTTTATACCCAATTTTTGGGTAAATACTCAAAATAGGGGTACCTTTGTATGGGGGCTACCAGTAAACGTGGACCTACATACATAAAATTTTGCATGGACATTTTGTACCCAAAAAGAGCACTCTGTGCCAAATTACAGCCAATTTGGTTGTAAAATGTGTCTAATAGGCAAAAAATACCTTAAATCGGGAGATACGGTTATATGGGGGCTATATCAAAACTTGGACCCAGGGTCCCCATGTTGGATTTCTATATTTGCTTTGACATTAGAAACATGTGTGCAAAGTTTTGGCCGCCTATGTAAAGTGGTTCGGCAGTTAATGAGTTTATACCCAATTTTTGGGTAAATACTCAAAATAGGGGTACCTTTGTATGGGGGCTACCAGTAAACGTGGACCTACATACATAAAATTTTGCATGGACATTTTGTACCCAAAAAGAGCACTCTGTGCCAAATTACAGCCAATTTGGTTGTAAAATGTGTCTAATAAACAAAAAATACCTTAAATCGGGAGATATGGTTATATGGGGGCTATATCAAAACTTGGACCCAGGGACCCCATGTTGGATTTCTATATTTGCTTTGTCATTAGAAACATGTGTGCAAAATTTTGGCCGCCTATGTCAAGTGGTTCGGCAGTTAATGAGTTTATACCCAATTTTTGGGTAAAAACTCGGGTATTTACCCAAGTATTTACCCACGTCTTTAAAGTATCGTAAAACTATCCATTCTAAATCGATTTGATAACAGAAATCCGGAAATAGGGTGTAAGATGTTGTATTACCGAGTCAATATAGTAAATACCCAAATAAATACCCGCAAATGGGTATTTACCCGGTATTTACCCACCCCTTGGGTATTTACCCGGTAAATACCCGGTAAATACCATCTCTAGTAATGTGCAGTGAAAGAATATTCAGAAATGCCAAAATCCGCCCTAAAAACTACAACAGAATGTCTCCTCATGACCCCAGTGGATCACCTTCATGAGGAGATGAAGATCTTAGCCGTCCATCGACACAATATGTTGTCGATGCAGTAACTATTTGGGTGTTATCGTCGGGAACACAAATTCCACAAACACCGGACGCCATAGAGATCGTAATGTATGCGGATGACTGTACGATCATGCCGTCAGGACGTATTATTGGTGTGATTTGTGAATGATTAAACTTCTACATAGCAGAACTTGTTTCTTTCTTTGATCTGCGGAATATGAAAATATTCAACATTAAATGAACAGCCACACTGTTGACCACATGATTCCGATCACAAACTAAGCCAAATACTGGGTGTAACATTCGATAGCCAATGTTTTATGAGATAAACTGAGAAGTAGAAAAAAGTCTTCAAGTCGCTAGCAGAGCTTGGGGCGATGACCAAGAAACCTTGTTGACACTAATAGGCTCGTCACTGGTAAGCAATGCGGCGCCAGTGTTGTTTGAAAATATAACAGATAAGTAGTGAAAGAATATTCAGAAATACCAAAATGCGCACAACAGGGTGTCTCCTCATGACATCAGTGGGCCATATTCACGAGGAGATGAAGATCTTATTCGTCCATCGACAAAGCAGTATATTGTCGATTCAGTAACAGCTTGGGTGTTATTGTCGGAAGCACACCTGCCATAGAGAGATCTATATGACCTAGAGAGAGCGCTCCAAAGGTACGAACGTGAAACACCAGACCAACTGGCATATCAAGCATATCTGAATGACATTCATACAGACGCAATCGCTCAGGCAGTAGAATAATATCCATAATCGGAGGCCATCCAACGCAGCAGAGGAGTAGCAGCTGCCAGTACAAACAGGAGCAGTTCAAGTTCAACTAAGATCAGGATGATGGAACCGCCATAATTCCTATTGCACAATGATTGTGGATATGTTACACCTCTTCAACTATTCAGCTAAGCCTACTCACGTATCTCCAAATTTCTTATGGACCAAACTCAGAACCAGACATTTCATAACTATTAATATGTGTTTTGTTGCTACAACAAAAAACATTGGATTAGTTTTTATCATCCTTGACGAAAATTATTTTGAAACAAGTAAAGTTCGGGACCTATATTAAAACCTGGATCGCATTTTATTATTTGTCATCAACTAAATACTAAGTGGGAATACGTAAATAAGTTTAAACATTCATTTTCAATATCTAAAATCAGGGTTTGGCAATGTGACAATATAATTTACGTTTCTAATGAAATATCGTTATCGATATTTTAACCTATTTCCGGTAAACGTATTGCAATGTCGATGATATAAAAAGCCAATGTGCGGCATAGATTTGCTATCATAAGTTGCATATCTTACATTTGGAGAACATCTGAATAGTATAGTTCATGCAATGAAAGTTTGTAAGTGTAACGAAAATAGAATAATATTTAAAATTCTGAATATTTTCTTCTCATCGTTTTCCTATTGCAGACTATTTATTAGTATTTGTCGCCATATTGGGTCCTCCGATAACTAATGGTCATAACTACCGTTATGGTCTCAATTATCCTGTGGAACGTTTACCAGTTGATTGTTCTACATGTTCGGATGGCGAACTAATAGCCGATCGAACTAGTTGCTCACGCTACTATCTGTGCATTGGTGGTCAGGCCTTGCGAAAAACTTGTGCCCCCGGTTTATTGTTTGATGCACGAACTCGTTCGTGTAATTTGGACTATTTGGTCGATTGTCAAGTGGGTCGTTACAATTACAATGAAAATAGAGAAAACTACTATAAACCAAATGTTATTGATATCTTGAGTCTTTTTGGCTGGCCTTTTGGGCATAAAAATCCCAGTAATATGCCTTCAACTCATGATTCTTCGGGCAATAATGTCGATGTTCAGCCGTCAACAACTTCGACACCTCTACCAAATAGAGTGAATCCACCTACAACTACTACATGTGAACCTACGACTACCACTACAACATGTGAACCTACGACTACTACTACAACATGTGAACCTACGACTACCACTACAACATGTGAACCTACGACTACTACTACAACATGTGAACCTACGACTACTACAACATGTAAGCCTACTACTACCACACCAGGATCTCCACCTGGTTGCAATGATAATAAACCACCATGTTCCGGTTGTGGTGGATGGGATCATAATCATGGTTCTGATTGCAATGGAAACCATAGACCTAAACCACCATGTTCAGGGGATAATGGAGCTGACAATGACAACGATTCCGATTGCAATGGAAATCATAGACCTAAACCGCCATGTTCCGGTTGTGGTGGATGGGATCATAATCATGGTTCTGATTGCAATGGAAACCATAGACCTAAACCACCATGTTCAGGTGATAATGGAGATGATAATGACAACGGCTCCGATTGTAATGGAAACCATAGACCTAAACCACCATGTTCCGGATGTGGTGGATGGGATCACAATCATGGTTCTGATTGCAATGGAAATAATAGACCTCAACCACCATGTTCAGGGGATAATGGATCTGATAATGATAATGGTTGCGATAATGACGATGGATCTGATAATGACAACGGTTCCGATTGCAATGGAAATCATAGACCTAAACCACCGTGTTCCGGATGTGGTGGATGGGATCACAATCATGGTTCTGATTGCAATGGAAATAATAGACCAGAACCACCATGTTCAGGTTATAATGGATCTGATGATGAGAATGCTTCAGATTGCAATGGAAATAATAGACCAAAACCACCATGTTCAGGAGACAATGAAAATGTATCTAATTGTAATGGTAATCATAGACCCTGCTATGATCGACCAGAATGGCCCTGTTCTGATGAACCAGACTGCGACCATGAATCTGACGTTTCTACAACATGCACCACAACAACTCCCTGTCCGCCATCATCACACAATTCCACAAATTCGGGAACTGGCGACAATACTGGCTCGAACAACAGAACCATCAATCTCAGTTATTTGATGGCACCCAACGATTGTGCCTCTTTACCCGATAATACCATACTCTTGGATTTGAGACATTGCAGGAGGTTTTATGTTTGCACCAACAGACGTGTAAAACGTAATCGCTGTCCCATTGGTGAGTGGTATGACAAGGATATTCGAAGCTGTCGTCCACGTTCTGAGGTGACCAATTGTGTGGCAAATAAGAATTAGTAAATGAAAACATTCAACTAGATCTCAACAACAATAGCAACAATGTATTCTGTTATATCTTTCAGTACACGTACATATTCTATACATAAATATTCAAACCCCAATCCTTCTCAAATAAAGTGAAATATTATATCAACATTTGAAATGGTTTGGCACATATCTGAACTTGGCCGGAGCCCTTATATGTGAGCTAAGTCAAACAATTAAATTATATAAACAATTTTCAGCTAGGAAATCTAGAAAAAAACCAGTTAGCGGAGCAGTATAGTCGGACGGGGCCGACCATAAGATACCCTACACAACTTCCATGAAAATTTAACTTTCGGTGGTTCTATATTCTGAGATTGGGCAATATTTCGCGATATTTGCACACTTTTGACTGGCTAGAGGTCAGCAAATGTTACTAATAATCAGTACAGTCCCTCTAATTATTTGTCCACATTTCCTTCACCGTGGGTTGTGTTGTGATGTTCGGTTTTCGACACGAAAAGTACAAATAATTAAGTCCACTTCATCCGAAAAATTATTATCTGATCATCACCTAACATTTTAGGCGTTGTCCTTTACCATGACTGGAACCATGGAACATTTCAAAGCGATCAGAGCTATATTTCCGCCCTCCAGTGTGGTAATAGGTTACTAAATAATATATGAATACGTACGTAATACCGCTAAATATTGACCGATCATTATCAAAACAGGCATGCTTATTTTTTGGTCCGATCCCCTTCTCTATGCAAAAAGTCGCAGTGTTTGGCCCATAATTGCGGCCTCTGGAGCGACCAGAAAAACCGACAAAAATAAAGTTTTTGGTCCATTTCATCCCCTAAATATTAACCGATCTTCTCCAAAACAAACAATAGGGGTCTTCATTTGCCAGAACCTATCCTACATGCAAAATTTCGTGAAGATTGGTCCATAACTGTGGCCTGTATCGTGTTTACAAATTATAATGGACAGACGGACGGACGGACACACATGTCTAGATCGACTCAGCTACACATTCACCACACTGTGGTACAGGGTATTATGTCTTTGTGCATATGTTTGTAACAGACAACAGGATGTGTGATAGACACATGGTTCCTTTTGAGAATATGCATGGAATCACTTTCTGAGTTGTTTTATGCATGTCCGTCCGTCTGTCCATGTATTCTTGTGAACAATTTACATTTATGATCCGATTTAGATGAAATTAGGCACAGCTCACTTATTTGGGTCAAGGACGAGCCCTATTGAAATTAGAGAATGTCAATTCAGATTTAGATATATCTCACATATATATTTTCGTCCGAATTATCTAAATGGTGCAAAAAACACCTAATATTTGTCCGATTGAAACAAAATTTGGTAAGGCGTTCTGAATTATGTCCCTATTGATATATACGAAGTTTTGTGCAAAATCGGTTAAGATTTAGATATAGCTTCCATACATAGTTTCGTCCGATTTTTGGTAAATGATGCACCAAACTGCCAATATGTGTCCGATTCAAAAAAAAAAAAAAAATTGATGTCCGTGAAGTTTTGTTGAAATCGGTTCAGATTTAGATATATAGTTCTCATATATAGTTTTGTCCGATTTTATGTAAATGGTGCACCAAACTCCCAACATCAAGCCATACACATGCCTTTCTGCAACCCTTTTTCATTCATTCGTGCAGATTTAGAGTCGTTTGCGTTCGATGGGACTAATCGATATAAAGCTAAATTTAATACCAAACAGACAGACACCCGTTCGGAATATATATAAAAGCTATGTCTGCATCTGCACCACTTTCAACAACATGCAATAACGTCATTCTAGACCTAATTTGATACGTTGTGAAAAAATTCGTGTCAATCGGACAAATATTAGAAGTTTGGTGCACCATTTACCTAGAATCGGACGAAAATATATATGTGGGGCCTATATCTAAATGTGAATCGATTTCAAAGACATTTACAAGAGATTAATTTATATTAACTTCAGTACATTGTACAAAATTTTTTGTTAAGCGGACATACTGTGGGTCTTTAGCGCACAACTTACATAAAATCGGAAGAAAAGATATATGGAAGCTATATCTAAATCTAAACCGATTTTTACAAAACTTATCACACGTCATTCTAGACTCAATTCAGTACGCTGTGCCACATTTCTTGCAAGTCGAAAGATATATAGGGACTTTAATTTACCATTTACCTAAAATCGGACGAAAGTATATAGGTGTGATATATCGAAATCTGAACCGATCACGAAACTTAACACACTTCATTCCAGAATCAACTAAGTGCGCTCGGCAAAATTTTGTGCAAATCGATAGATATATAAGGACTTTAATGCACCATTTACATCAAATCGGACGAACATATAGATGTGAGCTATTTCTAAATTTGAACTGATTTTCAGTAAACTTAACACACATCGTTGGTACAGCCTAGTCATTTAGTTCTAGAGTGATGTCTGCCAAGTTTCGTGAAAATCGGTCCAGATTTAGATATAGCTTCCATATATAGTTTCGTCCGATTTCATGTAAATGTGCACCAAAGTCCCTATATATCTTTCGTTTTGCACCAAATTTGGCATAACGTACTGAATTGAGCCTAGAATGATGTCTGCCAAGTTTCGTGAAAATCGGTCCAGATTTAGATATAGCTCCTATATATAGTTTCGTCCGATTTCATGTAAATGGTGCACCAAAGTCCCTATATATCCTTCGATTTGCACGAAATTTGGCATAACGTACTGAATTGAGCCTAGAATGATGTCTGCCAAGTTTTGAGAAAATCGGTTCAGATTTAGATATACCTCCCATATATATTTTCGTCCGATTTCATGTAAATGGTGCCCCAAAGTCCCTATATATCTTTCGATTTGCACGAAATTTGGCATATCGTACTGAATTAAGCCTAGAGTGACGTCGGTCCAGATTTAGATATAGCTCCCATATATAGTTTCGTCCGATTTGATGTAAATTGTGCCCCAAAGTCCCTATATATCTTTCGATTTGCACGAAATTTGGCATAACGTACTGAAGTGAGCCTAAAGTGATGTCTGCCAAGTTTCGAGAAAATTGGTCCAGATTTCTATATAGCTCCCATATATAGCTTCGTCTGATTTCATGTAAATGGTGCACCAAAGTCGCTATATATCTTTCGATTTGCACGAAATTTGGCATAACGTACTGAATTGAGCCTAGAGTGATTTCTGCCTTGTTTTGTGAAAATCGGTCCAGATTTAGATATATCTCCCTTTTATTATAGATTGATTTTAAGTAATTGACGCACCAAGGAACCAATAGGCTGATAGGAACAAAACGTTCTGAAATTAGTATAACCTAACCTGTGAAATTGTTTGAAATTGCTTAATATTTGGATAGAGGTTCCATATATATTTTCGCCCGATTTCAAGTAAATTGGGCATCAAACTCCTCATGTTAGTCAGATTGACATAAAATTTTGCACGACTGCCAAAATTGAGCATAGAATTACGTAGTTGCGTTTTGTAGAAGACATAGCCCAACGGATGACCTATTTATATTTGTTTGAAGCCGATTTACATACTTTATGGGTAGATCTACGCAGATTCACATTTATATAAATATCACATATTTTATTTCATCCAATTTCATGTTGATAGTCCTGCTGAATATACCCATAGTGGTGAAGGGTATCATATAGTCGGCCCCGTCCGACTTTATTACTTTCCTTACTGTTTTTTTATCATAAAGGCACATGTTGGCATTCCAGGTGTTTGGTTTGTGAATACTTTCAGTAGTTCCGCTTTTTCCTCAAATTTTGAATTTTATATGTACATTTTGGTATATAAAGATAGCGGAACTACTGTACTGTACTACCGACTTCAATGATGCTCATCTATCTGTAAATTGAGAGCATTACAAAAAAATTGACACGCGTCCAAAGTGATAACATTACAGTCTGGGCCGTAAATATATATAGATATAGAATAGGGCGTTGGCCTAGAACCACTTTTAACATTGTTGCAGATGGAAAATAAAGTAATGATTGGAGAATAAAATAAGAAAATAAATATAGGTGGACAGATCAAATTTGTTGTACTCTACACCTTGAGAAAACAGAAACATTTGATTAAAGGCGTGACTTTTCCCTATTTTTTAATGGCTTAAATACATCTACGTGGAAAATGATCAATGTAGGTACATAGTTTGACATAGCCCCTATACAATGTTATCGCCCCCTAATTCGGTGGTATTCGAAAGATTTTATACACATTTTTCCACCGAAGTGGCTGTAAGTGGTCTATTCTTAGCGATTTACAAACTTCATCCCAATACAATTTTCTTCCGTCTTCGGTCACAAGGTGTTGATACAAATCGCATTTATTTGACCTTCCCATGAAACAGTGTAGGGTATAATACCTCATTTGTTGTTTAATTTTATCTTTACAATCACTAACAATATTTCCCTTTTATCAGACCCTTTTTCTATAAAAATGGAAATATTACAGAAAATTAGACATTAGACATTTAATAGAAACAGTGTATCCGAACCATTATCATATAATGAAATTCGGTAAATTTCCCTTTTTACAATGTCCCCCATTACATACATATGTACTAAGCCGCAAAAATATATATTTTCAGTGTACCTTTTATTATTTGTCATAAAGGTGGGCGAGTCCAGTGATTGTCAAATAAATTCTATAGGTGCGATTCGAATTGAAATTCCAACGACGACATCAACAATTTCAACTACAACAACAACAACGACTACAACTATTTCGACCACCACGACGCCGACTCCACAAGATATCCCCGAAACAACAACAACAACAATTTGTAATCATGCCACGACTACTCCTCAATGTAAGTCCAGACCTGAAGATACCCCCAAAAATACAATCTATACTTTTTGGACCCACCATGATTGTGCCAACCTGAGAGATGCAACATTTTTGGTAGATCCTAGGCACTGTCGTCGTTATTATATGTGCTACAACGGCCGTCCCAAACGTCTACACTGTCCCCCCACGCAATGGT